TCTCCAAACAACTACTGACTTTCTACCATCTTTGACCTCAAAAGTCAAACATGTTGGGCTGGGGGTGGGGGGAGGAGGGAGGCCAGGGATTCTTTGCCACCTGGAAAGGGAAGGTGACCTAGAACACATCCAGTGGTAGAGCCACAACCTGTGAGAGGGGATGGGCCTCTGGGGGTGCGAGTCCCGGAGGGCGGGGAGGGGTTGGGAGGGGACGGGATGGTTCAAATCCCCAGTCCGTTTCCTGTGTTTAAAGAGCAAAGAAGTATTTATCTGGAAAGACACACACACGCTCTGGCAACGGGAAGAGACCTGTTTTTCCGTTTCATCAAATGGAAGTCCTTTATGTCTTCAATCCATTTAAGCTTTAAACATAACATAAGATCCCTTTGCCTTTTTTTTTTCTTTTTCTGGTGGGACACCCACCGAGGGTGTGGTGAAAGCCAAAGGAACCTGTGCTTGTCAGGGGGCAGGGAGGGGCTGCCCAGCACCCATCTCTGTCTGCAGGGACGGGGCAGTCAGAGGCTCCACTGAGTGTGTGTGTTGGGGGCAGGGAGTGCGTTTCTGCCACCACCAATTCAGGTGTCAGGGTTCTCTCCAAACAAATCCTTCCCCAAGAATTCACAAATTTGTGGAGGGCACTGATCAGCCACTAAACAAAGACCCGGATGGTGGCTAGGAGGTGTTCCCACAGTGAGTTTTAGTGTGAGTCCTTTTTATTTAAAAGAAATTTGCAATTGAAAGGCAAGTAAAGGCAGTCTGACAGCAGTAGGAGCCCAATCCCTGCCGGTAAAAAAAAGTAAAATCCATTACCAGTTGAGAGAGGTGTCCATGAGGGGGGCAGAGGGCCCGGTGTATCTTCATTATTAGCTTACTGAATATTTCCACTAAAGTTATGGAGGATCACCGCTCCCATTTTGCAGATCAGAAAACTGAGGCACTAGAGAGGTTAAGGGGCTTGCGGGGTGTCACCCTGCTAGTGAGTGGCTGAGCCAGGTTTCATCCTGGGGAGCTGGCTTCCAGGGCCCAGCTTGGAGCTCACGCCCTTCCGCCACGCTCTTGTCCCCCTCCTTCGGCAGATCTGTGTCCCAGCGAGGGTGAGAGCGACGCCGAGGCCGAGAGCAAAGAGGAGCACGGCCCGGAGGCCTGCGACGCGGCCAAGATCTCCACCACCACGTCGGAGGAGCCGAGCCGCGACAAGGGCAGCCCCGCGGCC